ATGTAATCCTGGCAAGACCCAAACTTTAGGGCAGTTAAAGGTCAATCGAATCACCTGAAGTACACGAATTTATCGATCAGTTCACAGATATCGACAAATACAATCGCACGACAGAGCGGGGGTACAGGGGCGGCCACTTCGAGATCAGCTTGGTACCTTAAATTTCGGAACTATTATAAAACATCACTGCATCATGGGGTTGGACATTTCCTAGTCCACTGCTTCAAGCAGCAAGAGCCCAATCAGCTTCACTCGCAGTTCCAGTTGCTATCGGGGTTAGTGCATTGCACTTGGCACCAGCATTATGCAGAGAAGCCTGAAAAGAACTCAATTAAGTTAGATTGGATAGGCAAATTAAAGAAATGAGAAACTGCACGGAATAAAAGTTGCGATCAATAAGCGATGAGAGCCGATGACTGAGATTCACCCACTTACCTTAGACCATTCATCAACATTTCGTCCTCCTCCACTTCTACGAATAGCATTCTGATGACAATCAATATGCACCATCACCATTTGACTGACGGTAGCCAGCTGAGGCACTCGAGCATCATTGGTCATAGGAGAAGCGAACGCGTAGCTATTAAATACTGAGTTAAGAAATACTTCTTTCGGAAAAAAAACTAACTATGAAATCAGATATTTCTATTAAAGGCAGTTGGCACGATAAATCCATAAAGACGAGTAGGATAAGCTTGGCAAGACGGAATTGACGGAATTCCGCGCCTTGATCAGGCGCTGCGTAGCGCCTTTCCCAAGGAAATTCCCCTTATAAGGGCCCTATCAAGCTACAACCTCGAACGCCCACCACGCCCGCCCGCCACAAGGACGAGCCGTGTCGTGAGGTTCGTATTGATCATTTGCTAAGCAAATTATGAAAGCGAGGAATGTAGCTATGAAGGCGCCAGCATTGCTGCAGTGGATACTATGAGATACAACGTGCACCGTATCCTCGTAGCGGTTATTGGCAAGATGCCTACGGGAAACTCGTCCGAAACTGATTTTCGAGTAATTGAGAACGAGGCTTTTTCTTCGCAGTATTTTGACCGTTTCCACTCCGTTCTTTCGGCCATTTTTTCCTCAGCTATATTCGCCGCCCTGTTGAGCATGACACCCAACTGCCTTTAATGTTGATTACGACTTGTGGCTAATATGCTTAACAGATAAACTAAGCATAGTCCTTGTTTAGCTGCTTCGAATCGGGCTTCTGTAGCTTTCACAGCTAGCTAGAGCCGGACTTGTAAAACAAAAGAATGGTGTGGATAGGGTAAGGTAGAAAAGTGTGAAAAAAAACTCACGCGGCTGCCACCCGTGTTCCTTGGAACAACGGCTCCCGACAGATGCAGCACGAAGCAAGTGGATCTGTGACTCCTTCAAGGGCTGGTTCGTTCGCTATACGTCTATGGGGCCACCTATAAAAATTACAAAAAAGTAATCCTGTCTTAGGAGTTCTCTGGCAGGATGGGTGAAATACTGGACATACGTTCAACTTTTGCACTCCTCGTCGTTTAAGTTGACTGTTATGCTGTTTCATGTTCATATGCAGTTTCCTATGCACTTTAATAACTACTGTTGTCTAGTCTTGACAGTAGTGCTTTCCTTAGCCCGTATATGAAAGAGCGTGGCGGCGTAGATCATTTTAGCGTTGCAGGCCGGCTTTTGGATGGAATAGCTGTTTGTATTGGCGGTTGTAGTATTAGGTTGTCCGGAAAGTTCTTAGCGTTTTGGGTGTTTAACTTTAAACGATCATAACTTTCTTAACACTCATCGGATTTAATCCAAATAAGCACCATTCGAATCAGCACACTTTTGCCAATGTGGCAGCAGTCGAGAAATCCCATCAAAGAAAAAACTGGGTGGTCGAGAATCCACGAAATCTGCGAAGGTCTTTTTTGCCTGGTCCTGTTTGATGAAGTATTTCTCAGCAAGGAAGTTCTGAAAATGTCTGAAAAGGTGACAGTCGGTTGGTGAAAGGTCTAGAGAATATGGTGGGTGAGGTAGAACTTCAACTCCCAATTCGTTCAATTTATGGATAGTGATTTGTGAAACGTGTGGGCGGGCGTTGTCATGCAAAAGAATCGGACCCTTTCTTTTGATAAGTGTTGGCTGCAGCTGACAATATTTTCGGTACATTTGGTCGGTTTGTTCACAGTAGGGTTCTGCTGTGATGGTTTGGCCTGGTGATGAAAAGTTATAGTGGATTACAACAGCCGATGACCACCAAACCTGACCAGAATTTTTTTCGCGAGGGTTCGGCTTTGAAAATTACCTCGGTGGTTCCTCCAAATCCAACCACTGTCCGGAACGTCTCCTGTTATCATACATGATCCATTTTTCATCACAGGTGACAAATCCGTTCAAAAACGGGTCAATTCTTTTGCGCAAAAGCAGTGAAGAAGGAACCTCGAGACGTGCCGATTCCTGCCGGTCACTCCGATTGTGGGGCACCCAATTGTCGAGTTTTTTCACCTTCCCAATGCGCGTTCCAGACCATCTGCAACAGTGGATTTGCCAAGGCCTAGCTCTTCTGCTATCTCTCGAACTGTTTGGGATGGGTCAACCTTCAAAATCCCCTAAAATCCTCGTCAGATATTGCTTTAGGTCGACCGCTATGAGGTTCATCTTCAAGGCTGAAATCTCCAGAACGAAATTTGTTGAGCCATTGCCGCACAGTGCTTTCTCTAGCACTATTGGGCCCCCACACCTGGTTAATTTGTTGAGCTGTTTCGATTGCGGATTGCCCCAATTTATAGTCGAAGAAAAAAATCGTCCGAAGTGCTCTTTTCACATGCTTGAAAAAATCTTGAAAAAGAGGGTTTATCAAGCAATGGTGAAACGGCAATTATACCATCAGATAGCGCAAGAAATTCTCTACAGGATGTGCTACTGAGAAGCAAGGCAGAATGAGTTTTTAATCAGCAGTGAATGTACAGAAGCATTAGTGTGCGCACAAAACGCTCAAAAACTTTTCCGGAACAACCCTAAACACGTTTTCGTCCAGCACAAGACAGGATTGTCTCTAATGAAAACATCCCATAAAAAACGCATGCTACGCCACGTTGGCCCTCTCCATCCTTGGATGAGGAGGCGACAGACCACCATAGAAGAATCGCCATCACGCAAAAATTTTCTGCACTTTTTCTTTTTTCTCACTGCTGAACTATCTTCTTGCGAAATTATCAATACCTCTCTCTACAATGTTCAATCATTTCTATCTACTTGTCTTTTGATAATCATTAAAACAGTTGGATGCGGCCTCTAGTTAACATGGCTCACCGCGGTTTAAGTTAACAATGGCCTCACCGGAGGTTTACGCTTCTCATCCACTCCCAGTTTCCACCGACTGCAACCGCGACAAGCTTGCAAAAGTTAGACCTCGACCATCGATAAAAACCCCCCGAAATTTTTGGGATATTTTGACGCATCTTGCCCAACACTTTCTTTCCCGCGCATTCACGCTCCTTCTGTGTGCGCTCAGTTTCTTTTTCTATCATTATCCGCTATTTTCTAGTCAAACATTATTTCCCTTTCCTTAAACTTAGCACAGATCTAAGAGTGCTGCAGGAAATGGAGGGATAGAAACTACAAAAGGGCTTTCGTGGAGAAATAGTATTGGATGGAACAAACCCGAAACTGTTACATATCCTCACTTTCACGCCGATTTTCACACATCTGCATTCCCCATCTCACCGTAACTGCTTATACGCATCGGCCATGGCCATCTTGCCCGTTTTTTCTGCCCGGGTTTCGTTGACGTTACATTCTCGTTTGACAGCCGCTAACCTGGAACGTAAGTCAGAAAATTGAAACGAGAACGAGCAATTTTTAGCGTAAACCAACAAATCAAAGATCAAGCTTAAAGAGAGCTTGAAGACAAGCTTTCCAAGATAGCTAGAAGACACGAGTGAAACACTACCTCAGTATTCTCTTTGAGTGCTTCAACAACATTCTCAGCCATGGTGCCTATGGAATTGTCCAGAAAGCCACCTGAACACGTTGATCTTAGTACCAGATCAGCGCCTCGAAAACGTGATACAGCAGACAAAACTTGAGGCCAACCTGCTCTAAACGGTGGAAGTATGTGCAACGTTTTCTCGGCCAGAGCTCGTTGACTTGCTTCATGTGATCTCGCCATTCCATGCATGAACGACAGCATCTTTAAGCATTTCAATTGGCGGTCTCACAAAGAACGTCCAGAAAAAGCTCGAATAACTAATGCGAATATTAGTCCGTTTTGATCAAACCAACCAATTTCAAGGACGGCCGGAGGAGGAACGCTTTCCATTCTTGAGATTCAGTAGCCGAATAGAGTGGCGGATGATTTGACACAAGATGTGAGCATGCCTTGAATGGATTTAACGCTTGATAGCTGACAAAATGCTGCGGAAAACGGATATGTTTAGGTTAACAAACTTTAGACAGAACACCGCTATCCAAAATCAGCTGTTTCAGCTTTGCGGCTTCGGCACTGTTGAGAATTCCCGCAGTCACTTCACACAGTCTACCAACAGCTACCACACGCTCACTTCGAAGTGAGACATCACTGAAATCTCCATTTTTGTTCGTACAGGCACGGGTAGCAAATGCAAGACGAGGAGACTGTTCTGAGTTGATCGCCTCTCCTCATTTATTTGTGCTGGACGGAAGCAGGGACCTACTTCCGACTGTCTGCGATACTAAACGAAACTCCATGCTGCGGATTTCGACCCTGACCTTCTTGAAACGAGAAATCAACTGCTGGAGCGAAAAACGCTTGCGTGCGGTGTGCTATCGACGTCGGAGCTAAAACCTGGGCCTGTGGACGCCTGGCGCCCGGCGAAAACGTTTCGCCGAGAGCGTATTCTTTTCAAGCGAATGCAATATTAGGCCCAAAAGGACGGAAATTTTCACCAGCAGTACCGCTTGGGGAAAACTTTCATCGAAATATGACCTGCATTTCGAAGGGTGGGACGGCAAAGGGTAAGCAGTGCCAGCAAAGCTACCCCTTTAGTTTTTTTTTTTCACAAACAGCGCGTTTTCTCGCCGAAGTTTGCACGATTCTAACAAAGCCGGCATAAGAGGCGACGAGTCATAGACCAAAAAGCGAAAAGCTGGGATGCCGAAGCCTGGACCTCAGCCTGGTTTTCTCTTCGAGGAACCTCGGCCGTTTCACGCGACCAACCCCGCCCCCAAGAAAGTACTCCAACACGCTCGATATGACTCCAAAAACTTATATAGGGTAGCTGATGCCTTCCGACCGTCATTTAATGTGCATCTTCCAGTCAGCCTACTTTGAGCAATTGACCTCAGCAGCATTTGTCTAAACTGTAATGAACCAAACAAGACCGAAGTTCATCTGAAGTCAAACTCACTTTGTCTCGTCAATTTCTTTCCACTGGCACGTTTTGAGATGTACATGGCAATGAGAGCTTTCTCAGCTTCCTCGTTACCCACAACGAGGTTACCGATGACTCGTGAAACTTGAGCACAGAACTTGTTCACGCTTTCGGAACCTGCAATATGTAACAGTAAAACGTGGGAAGCTCAAAAGCGGGTCATGCGGCCAAAAGAAGTGACCACTCCCACGAATATTCGTTTTCACGCCCAACTGGTTCACGTAGAAAACTGGTTCACGACAGCGTTTTCACGCTTCCACCCTATCTACAGCGTATGCCATAGCAGTACTGATAGCGGTGCTACACACACAAAAGGTGGACCCTCAGTTTCAAAAGTACGCCGCATTTTGTCCAGACCCAGCTAAAATGAGAGAGTCAGGCTGTGTGTGTAGGCGGGCCGATGAAAAAAGAAAATCTTCTACCTTCCATCTGCGCAATCATGAAAGGATAAAGTCTTCGCCGTTGATTAAATTTTTTTTGAGATGCGGCACGCATCCTACTTTCATTTAAAATCGTGGTTTATTGAATGGGATAAGGTCCCTAGAATGACACACCGGGACCGGCCGATAGAAGGGAGGGGGATTTCTGGCTGGATCCTTGGACTGTGTGCGTAGTGAAGCTACTTGCACTACACCACCTCCGCCCTAAGGACAATCATAAGTATAGAAAATCTCACCGGAATCAGGACGTGCCATTACAAACGACAAAAGCCATTCAGCGTCTTCCTTGGAAATACCGGTCAAGATCTAAATAGAAATTGTTATTTATATAGCAGACTAAAAAAATAGAAGAAAACCTGACCGGATGCACAGCTGGATCATTCACTATGGCAGAAATCATTTGAAGATATTCAAGACCTATTTGGAGAACGCCTTCATCCGTAGAGCGAAGGGACACGCACGAGTGTAGCACCTGAAAATGTTGTTTTACTCCTACTGTGCCAATCTTAGTCATTTCATGCGTTAGAGGGGCCACTGGTGCTCACAAGGACCCAACAATCGCCGACACTCTTTGCGAGGAGACGGTCAAGACAATCGCCATTTGCCGCTCCGTCGCGCGCGGTAATAGACGCGGCATTTTCTTATTTTGTTTTAGCGTTCCGATTAGAGCACCGGTTTCATGTAGATTACGATAACGTAAATGCACACAGTACATTGTCCTATCGCCATCCACGACCTATCAGCATCCCCATTTGCGGGCTCGACGTCACACGACACGCCCATCAGCGCGGCGAATTACGACTTTCTTGCCACATACCCCTTTTTACGCATGACAGAGGCCTAAGACCTTTTTTAGAGAACAGCATATACCTTCATGAAGGCATTGATAGCACCCGACGATACTAGGTCCACTCGTCCTTGTTCTGTTTTCACACAACGTTCGAAGAGTTTTCGTAGTTGACCAAGGAGGAACCTAAATTAGAGAAAAATTTAATAAGGCATTATGAAAAACAGCAGATAGCACAACAATCTCCCTAGAAAGAGAATAATATTGAGGCAGTTCTCTATCAGCACAGTAAACAGAATATGTAAAATCGAAGTAGCGTTACAGCCAATGTTAACGACAAAGAAATCAAAATGAACGCGGCTAGTAAATTCACCCCTGTTAGGGAAATTATTCAACATTTTCTAAAGTCCTACCTGCCAGCACTTCCGGTATCAGCCAAGCCAATCAACCGTAGCGCCCGCGTTAAGCCACCACACTGTGACAAAGCACCAGTTAGTGACGATAGTGTCTCGTCCTCTTCTGCCTCGCCTGAAAAACACGAATTTTGAAATGTTGCCCAGTGGAAGAAGAGTTCTCTCCACTGATCAGTGATGGTCCGTCCTATAATGAAAAGGAAGCCAATCATTGGAAGAGCAACTTTTTTTGAGGAAAAGAAATAACTAGAAACGAAAACGTTACTATGGAAGAATTCCTTTACCTCCGTCAGCTTCACCAAGTGTGGACACAAACGTCTCTACTGCATCTCCAAGCAAACCACGCATTCTATAAACGATCACCATCGGTTGTCCGGGATTCGCTTTCTTCCATAACTTGTCATAGACGGCTCGTACTGGCAGAGACAACGAAATGATCTGATTGTTCACCAGAAGCTGAAAGTGCGAACGCGATATATCTAACAGCCAGCTCATTAATATTATTTGACCTTTGATTCAATGATGAACTGAGTTGCAGTTTTGAAAAAGCGTTTTCTATACTGCGTCAAATCAGAAGCGCTAGCATAAAATCGTATAAAAAAGCAAATGACAGTTCTTGAGACTCCACAGTTAGACAACCCGGTTAGCTCCAAAAAAAATTGAAAAGCTCAGCGCTCACCTCCATTCCATTGTCATCTTCCATAAGAGCGATCATCTCAGTATCACGGCAGATCTTATTCTTTATGTCTCGCATAAGCGGGCCGAGACCGACATCCGTAGACTGAAATCGTGTCAATACGGCAATTCAGATTCATTTCCAAGGCTGGAGGGTGAGAATGAGAAGAGAGGGCTCAGTGATGTTCGCTGCGCACTCTGTGCCGTTTCAGAGAGGCTGAGTTCGACGCAGCGCCAGCCTGTTCTCCACACTTGTGGAAGCTTGTGGAAGCTGGTATCACAATTGGTGGAGAGAAGACTGACGCCGGGCTAAACTGCCCCTCTGAAACGCTCCAGCCCCAACAAGGCTGTATATCTTCTTAGGACTTGCAGCACGGATTCCCGGCGTTAGTGCTAGTTCTCAGAGTTTGGATGTGAAAACACCGTGAATTATACCGCAATTGCATGCAAAATAACGTGCATTCACTGATTTTAAAGATGCGATAGTGCGCTATAGAAGACCACAGCTCGTCAGCTATGAATGGTCCATACGCATCACATCTTCGAAGCTTTGAATTATTTCAAAAGTGGGAAGTTCCAGAGACCCTGTGTTATGTATAAAACCTCAAGGCGTAAGAAAATTGAGGGGCTCAGAACGAAACCGAAAACGAACCTTGTATGGATTGCCGGTCATCCTTCCCTGGAGGAAGTCTTCCTGTGCAGGATCTTTCTCAATTTGTATATGAAAAATCTTCCTCTTCCTTTTGTTCTGGGTTGAGAACATCCAAAATGACTGACACAATATGTGCCTGCAAAGGGATCCAGATTAATTTCATGTATAAAAGGCCACATTTTGACACCACTGCAAAAATTTGTCCATATCCTTTTGAGGCACACCTATATAGGTCAGGAGACATCGTCACCGCGTATGGCAGTGCGATGGCTCCTCTAAATCACGTGCGGCTTATACAGTCGCGGTGAGGATCAGCCGAACGAGGCGATATCCACGGCGCTCTCTGAGCTACGAAAGGCACACAAGCAAGTGGGTGGGATAAGGTGTGAAAGCGGTCTTGGGGACAGAAATTATTTATTATCTACAAGGTTAGTTTAGGGACATAAATTAAACTCGATCAGTACCGGTCTGGTTGCCAAATCCCTGCAAAGGAGCCTCTACCAAGTCTTTTTTGAAAAGTAGTGGGAAAGACTGCTGGCGGTGTGCCAGCGTCATTGATGGAAAGGTGATTCGAAAGGGTATTAGGCAAAAATGTCCAACGCTTGCGGAGCTGTGGACAAACGCTCTCCAACAATGACGCTAGCAACAACCGCCCGCCTAAAGCAATCGTACGCACTGCCTTCAAGCTTCCTGCTTCTCGCCGTCACTTGCCCTGAGTTTAGCGAGAAAATTGTTATCAAGTGGGCGCATTTATGACATCGAGGGTGCGGCATCGCGCCGAATTTGCAGTTTCTTAGATAGACTTGGGTCGAGGTGCAAATGAGCGCTCGTGAAATCTCTTTTGCCGTTATCAAAACGGCTCGGATGCGCTGAACTAAACCCGTCATTAAGTACAGCAAGCTAGTACAGATCACCTCTCCACATCTCAAAATCTGTCGTTCTCAACCCGGGCTTTCTTTTTCAACATGAACCAGAAAGTGGATGAAAAAAACCCAAAAGTTTATACCTGAGTGTTCAAATCATCTATGGCATCCAATGACTGCACAGCTGCACGCATCAACATTAGTGGATCTTTGGACGAAATGCGGCGCAGGAGACGTTCGAGTGAACAACGAGAAGCCTCTACAGCTCGCGTTCTTCTCAGAAGCACCCTGGACAGTTTCCTTTTCAGATTTGAAACTTAGCGACACTGTTGTCACAAAGCTGCAGCACACCTATGAACTAGTGTGCAAAAGATGTACAGCTCAGTAGCAATACGGAATTAACCTAAAAGTGTGAAAGCGTATAATTCACAAACCTTTTCAAGAATATCGTCGACTGGAACAGCGGCACAAGGATGTGATCTCTTGCAGCTTTCAACTTCAACGCGTCTACACCACTGCCGGTGAGCAGTAGACATAGAAGTTCTTAAAATAACTCTTTAAGAAAAGTATGCAGATTTTCGCATCGCAGAACAGATTAGTACAAAATTAGCTGAATAATGTTCCACTCACCAACATAACTACGCAATAGCGTACCAAACGAATGGTCCGTACTCGTCTCCTGCTGTTCTTCTTCATGCATGCGTTTGCATTCCTACTCATGTAAATATTCATTTTAAACTTGAAAAATTCCGCAACAATTCGCGACAAGGTCCACCACTAAAGATACCCATCGCGCCCACCATCCATTTTTCCCTCTAGGCAGCTTCATGGCGACTAGGAATATGTTCACTGTTGGCAGAGGAAATAGCCCTTGTCGCGAAAATGTTGAGAAACGTGTTAGAGAATTGCGACTCACCTTGTAAATCACCTTAATTAACCACACATGAAGTCCTTCAGAATAGAGGCGAGCCTTTATGCTTGGTCCGCCTCCTATGATGGCATGAGCGGCGCGGAAGAAATGGTCAGTCATTGCCGGCGGAGCTACCGATGCCATCGGAAGACCACGCAGCAGTACAGAGACCGCTGCACCAAGGTGTCCCTGAAAATATAGGCTAAAGTCAACAAAAATACTAGAATACAGCGTCGATTTCCTTGGATTATATCCACCTTATTCTATATTCAATTTGCATGTAGAACAATCAATTGGTATACAGATGGAGTATTTTACTTGTTATTAGGGAATGGGGCTGCCACGTTCAAAAAGCGTGTTTGCGTAATGCAGGGCTGACTGGAATTAGGAGCAAGAGGAACGTAGTTAGCCTGAAAGAATGTTTCAGTGCCAAGCACTGTGGAATCGATCTACAGTCTTGTTCGCTGCGAACGACGGGGCGTGTGAGTGAGGCTGGGTGTGGCCAGCTACCAATCCGTTCTTAACCAGTTGTAAGCGGGTAGACAGGTGAAAACGGTGATACGAACTATACGATAATCTTGCTGGCCCAAAGGAAAAGAAGAAAAAAACGGGTTGGCGCCGCGTCAAACCGTCCCCTTTGAACCCCTCCACCCTCCGCAGCCAACAAGAAAGTAAAGTGCTCCAATGCCTGCTGCCTCTGCTATATGGGAAATCCGACTCCCGAAATAAAAAAGCGAAAAATCACAAATACTGTCTAGAGCACATGCAGAAGATTTCAAGACGTACTGGTTGAGCGGCTACAGCCACGATGATTCTCGCCGCAGCTGCTCGAACTGCTATCCATGGCGAGAACAAACAGCGCCATAGCCATGCATCGTGTTCCTGAAATACTCTTCCAATGCTTAAAAAGGAACCAGTCTCCAAACGTGATTACCTTGCTAGTGTCCGGGGCACAGTCTCCTCGCATTCTCGGTTTTTTAGTTGGTGGGGCTTGACAAGAGCTGTTATTGTAATCCAGCTTTCCGGACAGCCAATCACCAAACGATGCACATTCGCCGAAGTCATGATTAGCAATTTTTATACGACGACGTTCAAGGAGGTTCTTGAAAAATAACGGCCAATTTATAAAACTACCCTTATCTTTGAACCTTTTGTCAGTCACCTGGGATACTTCACCGGAAATCCCACGTCTTCTTTGTTGCAGCTTGCGATAGATTCTCTTTCTGGTCGGTTTCGCATCCACCAAGCACTTGTCAATGATTGTCAGGGCCGCCAACGTCGTGTCATGATCATTGAACTTCATTGCGCTCTAAATACGCAAGACAGTCCTTCGAAGGGAGTGAGTAAAATTCTAGAGAAGAAACAAAGAGAAGAGAAAAGAGAAAAACAAAGAAGTAAAAACAAAAGAGCACGGCACATTCCCAACAAACCATTTCGAAACAGTCTTACAAGTAGTCTATTCGATAATAAATTACCTTCAGCAACCCACGGAACTTCTGCTGCCACAGCGAATCTGGGAAAGTGTTCAGCGAACGGGCAAGTACAGTTCCGCTGATCTTTCCAGACATAACCAGCTCACACAACCTGTAATAAGAATTATTTCACGAGAAGATTTTGAAAAGGTTATTCTAGAGCACATGAAACATGACGTACTTCTCTGTTCCCTTTTCATTTTCGAGTGACAA